CCATGTGCTTATTTAATGATTATTTGTTATGATGTAAATAATTAAATCTTGTAAATAGTTTGAGAACTGTCTGCAAGGGTGCTTGATTGTTAGGGGAGGCTCTCCGCTCGGGGGCACTGCAGCAGCTTCCCAGGGGGGCTGGGCAGGGCTACTGGGTACCCCAGGATCCCATTATTCAGGTGAGGGTGCATGTAGTGTCGCGCCCAGGGTTACACAAGCATAGGCAGACTTAAATACTCTATCAGTGTTGGAAGGTACAGCTCACCTGGAGAAGACAGGAAACTCCAAGGTGATCTGGGCGACTAGGATATTCTACATCAAAACAAATTTACCCTCCTCTGGGGATACTTGTATCTGGAGCCTTATGCAGCCCTGTGAAAGCTTCCATGATACACAGCCCCTCATTGGTCAGCAGCCACCTGTGAGGTAGGACATGGTCACCTAGTTGTCATAGTGGTGCTTACATCACAAAGGCTGTTGGCTCACCTCTTTCCTGGGTCCTGGACCTGGAGCCTTGAGTGCCTCCGGACGCCTTCGCGATAGGAGCTGCTCAGCGCGTTAGAGCAGGAAAGCTTGTTGAAGCCGACTTTGAACAATGGAAGTCATCGACGTGAAACTACCCAGCAGAGGTAAGATCCCCACGATGTTCTCCATGCCTAATCTCTAGTCCCACACCCCTTCTTGGAAGCACAAGAAATAGCTGGATTAGCTAAAATCAGCTTTGCTGGAGCTAGATTTTCAGTTGTGCAAACCACTGTAACTTTGGGGCCTGGACTGCAGCTTGGGTGATCGATACCAGGTCAGGATCAAGCCTTTAGCACCTGAACGCTGATATGCCTCCAGTCATTGGAGACTGTGTTAGATGTTCTGGGAAAGGTCTCCTTCCATCCCCCGAGGTATTTCTGACCCTGTCCCCCTTGCAGCCAGGTGGGTGGTGTGAGGTGTCTCTGTATGCATTACCTAAGCTGAAGCATGACGGCAGCCTATAGACGTGCTGGTTCATGTTCTAATTAGAACCAGTTGGAGCAGGCTCCATTAATCGAGTCTGCTCCACTTTCTAATTAAAATGCTCCAGCCTTGCCTCACTGTCATGTGGATTAAGGGCCCCCCACCCCCACCATTTTAAAATGGCTGTGGGGGTGCTTTAACTAAAGCTCATTGAATAAGCTTCAATTAAGGTGTTCCAATGGCAATGTTAAAATATGGGGTTTAATAAGAGTGGCTGTTGGGGAACCACTCTAATTTAACCAGCCCCTCCCTATTCCTGGTATGTGTATAGGCAACTCTGCTTTCAAAAACGTTGGCCCTAAACCATCATGTTGGGTGTGTGATCCCAATTCTCCAACTAATTGCCAAGGAGAAAAGAATTGTTATTGTCTGCACAACTTCCCTTACTTTCCTGAAAACAAATGTCACAGTAATTTCCCCTTCCAACTGGCTGGGCCATTTTGCAAGCAAATCTCCTAGCATAACAGAGCAGGAGAAAGGGGAAGATGCATCTTCTTCTCCCTGACTAGGTCCACTCTTGCCTCTTTGGCTGGTACAGCTGTGGCCATTGCACACGGGACTGATGATTCTAGGTTTTTAGCTTCTGATGCTTGCTAAGAACAGAGCATCATCTCTATCCTATTGACAAAGATGGGCTTTTTGGCAGAACTAAACTGCACAAGGGAAAATGCCTCTTTAGCAGTACCAGCTGTCTCAGCCCAGAAGGCTGGCCTGGAGAGCTCTCCCCTTGTTGGTGTGCTAGGAAACCTTTCCTTTGTAGCCAGGCCACAGGGTTTGGCTCCAGCAGAGCTGCTAGTGGGTGGTGATGAACGAGAACAATGGAAATCCACAGAATCCTTTTCCTCTATTTCAGGTTTTTCCACCAGTGATGCCTCTGCAGGGAGATGCCTGGTGGACCAAGCTCAGGGCAATCTTGGCCCAGGGTTTGGCCAGGCAGACGTGGACCTTGACATTACTGTGAGCCTTCTGCTGGAGAGACTCCAACAGGAGGAGGTAGGGCAATGGCTCTGTATCACACGGCTGCTCTAAGCATTTTCTTCCAAGGCTGTGCAGGGTGGGACCCCAACTAAAACTGGTCTCTGTCCATCTGCTGTGTCTTTTCCATTCCTCCTCTCCTATTAACGGTCACAATACAACATGCCCTTGTTATATTGTGATGTCACGATGATATGAGGGCATGCTCACATGGGCATCATCTCCCCTGTCCCAGTGGATGATAGATATGGTATAAGCCACATTCAAACAAGCCCTCACCCTACAGATAATGCTGGGAGCCTCTTTAGTGTCTTCCTCCAAGTATCTCACAGCACTGAGATATGAAATATAGTTTCCCAGCAGCCTTGTGACACTGGAAAGCCTCAGCCCAGGAAGTGAAGTGACTTGCCAACTGTCCCCCAGCAAGTCAGGAAAAGAACTGGGAATACAGCCCAGGGTACTGAGCTTCTGTCTAGAGACCCTGGGCAACACACACTTTCCCTGCCTGATTTGCTGTCATCCAAGTATGACTCGGCTGGCTTAGCGCAACCTGGATCACAAATATTTCAACTCCCTTCTTCATTCAGTAACAGAACTAATTGCACAATGGTTTTTGGCAGCATCTTGCCTGGCAAACGGCTGCTAAATTTGCTGCTCAGGATCACCCGGCAGCTCCTTGTCACTCCCCTGGTGTCCCCCCTCTGAAAGAAATGGAAGTCACTCCCACCTCCCCAGTGCACTGGGGTGACAGTGCCTGTGATGTATCTGCCTGCTTTTCTGATCATATTTCTGTGTCTCCCACCAGTCTGTTACATTGTGCCCTCACAGTGCCTGACACTCCTCCCTTGTCAGTGCCAGCTGTGAACATCTGCATGAGAGGACAAACGCAAGACACGCTGGGTTGTGTTCCTGTCCAGGAGCAAGGTCCCCACTAGCATGGCTGTAGAAGAATCCCTGGGTAGCTGATGTCCAACATCATAGTCCTGGATGATCTGGCACTGGTCCCAAAGGAAACCCATTGTTCTCTTTCTCGGTGTGTTCCCAGGAGACGAGAGTAACCATTTACTCCAGCCTGCAGGAAGTCTTGCAGGGGGACATAAAGAGCCTGGATAGAAACCTTGTCAGGAGGATCATCCACTTGGCCTCCAAAAACATGAGGGAGACCCAGGTGAGCGAGCTCTGCCCAGTTTCTCCTCACAAGACCTTACTCTATGCGTAGTTTGTTTGGTCCA